ACAATGAACTTAAAACATGGCAACAGTAAGTATGGTATCTACAGCACACCAAGCCCAAGGTAAAGGGCCATCCCATAGTCATACCATACCATGGTATGGCCATTATACGGTACCATGGTATGGCCAAGTCATACCATTATACCATACCATGGTATGGCCAAGTTATACAGTACCATGGTATGGCCAAGTTATACGGTACCATGGTATGGCCAAGTCATACCGTACCATGGTATGGCCAAGTTATACCATACCACATTATACCATACCATGGTATTGCCAAGTTATACCATACCATGGAACTACAAGACATCATACTAACTAAAAAGTGCCTCCAGTGACCAGCCAAGGAGAGTAATCAGTATTCTAAAACTCTATCTAGATCTACTAGACAGAGCAATCCTGAGGCCCCCACTGACCCCACTGCACCCCGGAAACATCCACTAAGAAGTCTGCAGATATATTATTGCCAGTAAGTAATAGAACATCCCAAGTAGAAGTCCAATGAACACACACACCTCACACCAGTCACTCAAAACTCCTCCTCCTCTGTTGAGGACCCTTCAGAATCCACGGCCCTCACTAGGGTGTCGTCGACGTAACACGCCACCATCTGTGAATCGCTCTTCATCGCCATTCTCCGAATGCCCGCGTCCAACCCTGCGAGGGCCATGCCCAGTGAACCCTTCGTTTCCTCGGCCATAGTAGCCATTAGAGTCATACGGACGAGCATGTCCTCGAAATTGGGAGCGGAGACCACGGCCTCTTCCACCAAAGTCAGATGTTGCATACTGTCGTGGATGGTGGCCATAATGTTGGTTATTTGAGAACTGGGGCGGTGGTCGGTGATAGTGATCCTGCATGGAAAAAGAGGGTTCGAACCTCGTAGTCTGATACTCGTCCATGAAAGCGTCGTCTTCGTCATACATATTCACATCAGTGTCGAAGTTATTGTGATCGCAGCCTTCGGCATCATTCCATGCCCTCAGACGAGAGCCACCAGCACGGTCTGAACCAGCCTCGTTATGAGTATTCCGCTGCTGGGACATCCCACGTGAACCATGCACTTGGTCCAGCCCGCGCTCATTGTCTGGGCCCTGGGACATGCTCTGGGGAAGCGGCCCATCTTGACTCTCCCAACCGCCATCTCTGGGTCCACCTTGGATCTCACGCACTGGCCGTGAACCCAAAACAATCCCTTGGCCTACCAACTCCTGGCGACGGACACGTTTGGCTGGAGGGGAACGAATGGGGGAGATTACAGGAGCGCGAGGGTCGTCCTGAGTTTCCCCATCCGAAGACGTAAGTTTTTCCGCCTCGACACCTGCTCCTGAAGGCTTCGGCTCCTCCCGCAATTTGCGCTTCTGCCGGCCAACTTGTGTGGAGGTCGTCGTTGTCTTCTTTTTTTTGATGACCTTCAAGGTATTATCTTCCATAATCTGGCTACGCACTCTGGCACGGAGTAGTGGAGGGCAGTCAGCGCCTCCATCGTTTTGACGAGCAGCGTTCTCCACCTCAGGCGCGCAGTTTTTGACACGGGCGAGGACCACGAGCTCCCCTGATTCAGATTCGCCCGTAACGATCGGTATGTCCAACCACTCCTCACTCCCCACCACCAAGTCCGTGTAATCTAAAGCCCAATCCTTTAGAACATGCCTTGTGAATATCACAAGTCAAACTTACCATCTGACCATAAGACAATTTGAGGGGCCAGGTTCTTCGTCTCGTCCTTGCTAATCATGTATGTGAAAATCAAATTGATTCCATTCGAACTGATGTCGGTAATCGACCATCCCTTTGCCCCAGGGATGGGTTCGTTGCAAGGCCAACGTTCAAGAACCATCTTAGCATCACGGCAGTGGGTGAAAAAGTTGGCCCACAACGCTGACGCCGACGCTATCTCAGGACCTGCACATTCCGCTGCAAACCAATCAGTACCCTATGCACATCAACAACAATGCCACGTACCAATGTCAAACCTCAGTAGGTAAGGTACACATCTTCTTGAGCGATCTCTAGGTGTTTCGATGGGACGGCAAAGCCAATAAGAGGCAGGAACGGCCGTAATGGGGAGGTTTAAATCGGGGTCGGTAGAGCTTGCCACACCTTTGGAGGACTTCGCTTTTTTTGCCAGAGATTTGGATGCCTTCCTGTGCGCTGGGGGATTGACAATCGGAGGGTCCGGCACTGCACTTGAGCCATTGGGATCTGTGACCACGTTCGAGAAATCAACCCCCAGGAGTTGCGAGAAGTCCACAGATTCGGGTACAATGAAGTTAGAATCCATTCCCCTACATAGTTGAAGGTCAATACGAGTTTTAATATGATGATACCTGTATAACTTACCGAAGGAGAGTTGTTAAAAGATGAAGCGTCTTCTTAACGTCCGCTTGACAATGCTCGATCACGCGTTGCAGCTTGTCATTGCCAGTGATAACGGTAGCGGCCTGGTTTGCCACAGGATCTCGAGGTATGATGACCCCAATCAAGTCCACGCCCGCCCTTCCCAACGCTATAGCCTACAAACAACAATATCTGAGCCAGTTGCCCCCGATGAAGCTTTGAGGGAGCAAACTCACAAGATCTTGCACTTGCTTCAGCGCCGTTTTCGTCATCTTGAATTCGTGCCCCTCCGTCTCTGACTTGCTCTGTGCCAACTCGACGAGCATATTCTGCTGGAACTCCTCCAGCTCGTCCCCTGACAACGACTCGTTGAGCTGCTTGTACATCACCGCAGCCTGGGCTGACCACGAGCCTAGATTGGCACCTAAAACCAATCAATGAAGTGTGATACCTTTGACCAAAGATAAAAGACCTACTTGATTGTGGATTGTAAGTCTGAATACGCAAGTACATCTGCCATACGTCCCACCAGGATGGCTGACGAGCAAGGGAAACATTGAAGCCCCCTTTGCGTAGGACGGATTCGGGTGTACGGCCCATGTCCTTGCAGTACGCGACAATGGTGTCGGACAGCTCTTTGACTTGATCTAACTCGTGAGCTGAGTAACGGCCTCGCTTTTCTTCGCCAGCGGGATCGGCGCGTTTCTTTCCCAGTGCCTTTGCAGTAGCAACAGGGCGTGCATGGGGACTTTCGGTTGCACCACCTACGCCTGATCCGTCACTGTCTCCTGAAGGCCTCTGTGGAGGTGGCTTACTTGCCACCAAACGACGTAGAATCCGCGTAAACTCCGTGCCTGCCTCGCCCAACTCGTCATTGCCTGCTGAAGGTCTTGGTGCAGGACGTTTGCCCTTAACCAAACGACGTCGAACCTCCCCCTCCCTGGATACGTCACCTGGTGGTGAAACTTTCTTCGAAGCCTTTTTGCTCTTGATTCGACGACGGTCATCCTGTTCATCGGCTTCCTTCATTATCCTTTCGTCATCAGCCTCCTCCTCCTCAGTGTTCATCTCGTCGTGTCCAGGTCCCCGATTCTTTTGAGCATGTTCACGTTGCTTCAATTTTGCCTTCGTGGACTCACTATAGTCACTGGGCGTCAATGTAGACTCTGTCCTGTACCCAGGACGTTGGTGGTCAATCTGTAAGTCGGCCTCTGAGTCTGGTTCGTCGTCCGGTATGCACTGTGCCTGAGGAAGTTGATTGCCATGGATGATGTGGGCAGGTTGGCGTCTCCGATGGCTTGACTCTGCCTCCTGGCCCCCTTCTGCTTCGTGCTCTGCGTCTGTTTCGTGTCCATCGTCGCCCGTCTCTGCTTCGTCGCCTGACCCTGCTTCATCACCCAACTCTGGATCGTCGCCTGACTCAGCTTCGCCCCCTGACTCTGGTTGTGCACTAGACTGTGCTTTCTTTGCCGCCAAGCGTTTAGCCCGATGCCTTGCCAATATCTCCGCTTCCTCCCACCATACCTCCACCTCGCCAAGACGGTTCGTCGCAGGAGGGGGATCGGTGGTGTAGCCTTCGGGGAGAGCCTCCCATCGTTCACTCGCCCGATTGTGCCAGCAAGTATACTTGGTATACTGGTGGGCAGGGTGAGCATCGGTGGCTAGCCGAATTCTCGATCGATGTCCGATATAACCCATCCCTTCCATGACTCTGCCAATACGGCAGAAGTAAACCGTAACTGGATGCGGAAGAGATGACGGCGGAGGGAGGGGCATCTTATCATCTGATGGCATCGTCGAATCGAATTCGTCATCACTGGACGCCGGGTCAGGGGTCTTGGGTTCACGATAGGCCAATGTAGGATCAACAAGAAGGAGCGAGGGTACGTCGGGCCTGTTCTGTAACGTGTATAGGCCACGGGAACGAGGCTCAGCCTGAGTGGGGCCAGGAATGGGTGAAGAGGGAAAGATACCAGACGAATCATTTCTGTAGCGTAGTCAAAAACCACCCTTACTCTAATGAATCAAGATACGTACGTCGGAATGAGAGTTGACTTGATTGAAAACGTGCCCTCCATTGGGGGAGAAACTCTGACAGATGCAGAACTACAAGGCATGGTAAGCAAGAGAGGAAAATTTGTTATAAACAACGGCTCACGTCAATGTGGCCTGGACGGACAACGGCAGGCCGAAGCCAATCGAACCAGACAACCCCCTGATGCAGAATATCAATATCGTCTTCGACAGAGAACCGCATGAGCACTCACTTGCCCCCCATACTGTCAGCGCGGCGTGCAGGCATGGAGTTCTCCAGATAAGATTGCTGGATCTTCGGATCTCTGTTAAAGAACACGTCTTCAGCCGCTACGGTCAGATTGTCTATGACTCTGTGACGTTACAGTCAGTCGTACACCCGATTAATGTCAAAGTATAGGGAACCAACCGATTGGCGTGGGATATAAGTTCCTGCGTAGGTGTTGCGTCTGGATCAGCAATCTTCTCCACCCTATATAGTCGTTAGAGAGATATTGACGGAGCAGAAGCAGCGAACAAGGAGTTAACGCTGGTGACACCCGAGTGAAACGACAAGGAGTCAAATTTCACTCCAGTGAGGACTCGCCGCGACAAAGAGTCAAACGGAGAGCCCTGAGAAAGGGAGAGAGAGATACGCACACTTGCTTGAGGCCATACATGCGGAATGACTTTTTCAGACTGAGCTTGACCAGAGCCGAGTTGGTCCCAGTCCCAGACGCCGCACCACTCCCTCCAGGGACCGCATCAGTGGAGTCATTGTCGACGAAGGGGTTTTTTCCGTCGTCAACGATCCCCTTCAGTTGATCGGAATCCAGCAACTGATTGGCGTCGTTCCCATCTTGGTTGTCCATGATCCTAAAGTTCACGATCAGACTCGCCCCACCCCGGATGAATCGCTAACGAGACCTCACCTGATGTTGTCCGCAGACTTTTCGGGTTCAGAATCACTTGGTAGAATTTTTGTTTCTGCCTTGGACTTGTTTCTGCACCCAAACATTACTTTGTTGATTTCCCTTTAGAGGCAAACACATACTTTTTGGCCCGACTAGGCCTGGAACGTGCCGGAGTAGGGGTGTCGTCGACGGCGGTGTTGACTACAGCCTCCGAGTTTTTGGGGTCCGACTGACTCGGTAGATTCTTCTTTACAGGCTTGGCTTTATTTCTGCAACAAAACATTAGTTCGTTGGTTACCCTTGAGCGGCAAACCTACTTTTTGGCCCGACTAGGTTGAGCAGCAGCCGGTGTAGGAGCATCGTCGACGGTGGTGTTGACTACAGCATCAGTGACCTTCCTGACTCGGGTATGAAGGCCTGTGGCCTGAGTTGGTGCAGTCTTCCCGACGACATCGCCGCCAGTCTCAGCATCTGTCACACTGAAATATGTTGAGGTGAAAGTTTTCGCTACCAAGGGTAAGACCATACCTATCGTTTTGTGTGCTTTGTGCCGCCTTCACTGCTCCCTTCTGCAATAATATTTTAACGACGTGGCAAACGGTGGCAGAGGAGTCTCTAACCTTGGTGGAAGCATTGCCTCTACCCACCACGGGGGGTGGAACGACAACAGGCTTACGAGAGCGAAGTTGACGAGGTTCTGACATTACAGTTGTTACGGTTGGTATTGGCTTTTTGGTTCAAAATTCAAGGGCTTTTTTCTGAATGGGAAAGGTCAGAGAGGCGTAGACTGAATTTCTAATATATATTCATCTTTTTACTTACGTGAGGACAAAACCAAGCTAACCCGAAGGGAAATGTTGTTGCATGTTAGGCGTGTCAGGGTGAATGTTGCGCTCCATCAGTGGCTACAGTTGGAATACATTGTAATGACGAGACGCAAGTCCCTAATCTCGGGGTCAGCTCTCAGCAATAATTGGGCGGATCGGACATACTCAATAGCTTGCACGACGGATATGTATAACTGACTAGCCATAGTGAAGAACTTAGCTGATACCTTAAACTAGGCATTGGCATTCGGGTTCTGAGATAGATATATCCGATGAGCGCATCTAGGTAGGTTATCGAGGCCAACTTACCCTGCCAAAAGAGAGAGAGACGTAGGTGCCTAAACAAGGCCAAGGAACAAATCGCTGCATAGCGTCTGGGCTATTGTTGCGTCGAATTCGACGGCCAGCCACATGAGTGGGTGCAGGGTTGACGATAGCAATGCCAGGCGAGCTTCCGTAGCACTAGGTTGGCCGTTGACGGTGAGATTGACAATAGAGGGAAGCGTTTTCCTGGATTGGCTACCGCAAGCAGCGACTTGAAGGGCTGCGGTGTTGACTATCGCATTACTGCCAGGGGTATCCAGAGCACTACACTTCCAGGTGAGACAAGCGGGGTTAATGAAATGGGGCCAGATTACCTCTCATGTTTGCGAGGGCAAAGTCAGCAGGTTTCGTACTTGTTGTGATCAAAAAGGTGGATCGGAGTGTGCGCAAGCGATAGAGGTCCCGGAATAACCAGCTCAAACGGCGGGCAGCATTGGTCTGAAAGATTAGCGCGAGAACTGCCTCCAATCTGTGTGAAAACAATTAGCATTGAATTCAACCCGGCCCTTTGAGAGAATAGCGGCGACAAAGAGTCAAACCGCCAGAAAGAAAGGCCGACAAGGAGTCAAAGCCTTCACAACAAGGACGACAAAGAGTCAAGTCCATGTGCGCCAGAAGGGAGACAAAGTAAGCCAATCGAAGTACTTACGTTTGTAAGAGGCGGTGGAATAAGGCGCGTGAACGGGGGGCAAGCATTGGCCTGACATGATAGAATGGGATAGCGTAGGAACACCGATCTGTTTCCAAACAATTAGCATTGACTTCAACCCGGCCCTTTGAAAGAATAGCGGCGACAAAGAGTCAAACTGCCAGAAAGAAAGGCCGACAAGGAGTCAAAGCCTTTGCAACAAGGACGACAAAGAGTCAAATCCATGTGCGCCAAAAGGGAGACTAAGTAAACCATTCGAAGTACTCACGTTTGAAAGAGGCGGCGGAATAACGAGCTAGAAGGGCGGGCAGGAAAGGACTGACAATAGTGAAAGAGCATCCGATCTGTTAGAAAACAATGAGCATGGTCTTCCATCGGGCCGTTTGAGAGAATAGCAGCGACAAGGAGTCAAACCGCCAGAATGAAAGGCCGACAATGAGTCAAGGCCTTCGCAACAAGGACGACAATGAGTCAAGTCCAGGTGCGCTAGAGTAAACCCGAAGAAAGCGAAATGACTCGGTACTCACGTTGGACGAAACCAGAAAGGATCCTGAAGCCAAATAGAGAGGCGTCGCCGGAGGGGGGGGGAGTGAGGGAAGAGGTGAGTTAGCGTGGCTTTGAACGATGATGGATGTTCGACATGGGATCAGATTTGATAAGATTACTAATTACATACTCAGGCTTTGTGAACACCTTCGACTTATGCTGCTCGTTGTCCACCGCATCGCATCCGAAGTACCATAGGTGAGTTATGGAGCATTGGGATCATTAACTCCCGGGGTTTGACTCGTTGTCGTCCCGTGGAGGACGGACCTTGACTCCATGTCGGTCTGTGCTTAGGTCGAGTTTGACTCTTTGTCGCTCGCCTAGTTGGTCCATTCACTCCCATAGGGTATTGGCGCTGACGTGTTAATCGAATCTTTTAGGTATCGCGGTTACTTTGCACCTGGTTTCCCGGCGCCAATGGCAAACCACTTTCCTCAACGCGCACGTTGCAGGTCCCAGCCTCTCCCGCTCAACCAAGGCCGCTTCTTCAAGCGGCATGTCCCTGCATGTTTCATCTTCACCAAGACCTCAGCGCTGATGCCGTTCGTTGTAGGATCTTTGCACAACATGCTTCCCCGCGAGACATTTGAGGTTTCCACCGCTTCATGAACGACCTAGTACATTACAAGTGCCATCGATCCCCCCTAGTGCCAACCGTCGTTCAGATCTACGCTGCCAACGGTGGTATTCTACCTGGTGCCGGCTTAACAGCAGCCAAACCCAACGGTGTCCACTGGCCCACGAAGATCCTCACCCCCAGCCGGTCAATCTCTCATCACCTTCCCACACCTCCAAACCCGCCTCATATCCTCGATTCGAGTCCAGAACGGCGTATCACCCCTCCACCTCCTCCCCAACGTTCCCATACAAGCTTCAACACCCAATAGCCTCGCCCTATGCCTCGCGCTGCGCCCCCTCAATATCTGACGCCACACGAGAAAAGCCCGCGATCGTCAACCCACGTCCCCAATAGACTATATTCACATCATGTCGCCGCTTGTCCCTGTCCCAGGATATGGCTTCCCAGCTCACTATTCGCGGGACTATACCCCAGTTCATCGGAGGCCGTCTAACGGTGTCTATGTATTTCTTACGTAGGCGGAGTGGGGTTTCACAAGTGGTCTTGCGTAGTCTCGAGACGATTCCTTTTCCGTACCTCGGTCTTACATACATGTTTCGTAGGTATAACGTAGGTACGACGTACTCGGCATTTGGAGTTGTTGGCACTTATTGACGCGTCTGAGGTTCACGTGATACCGCTGAACAACGTGATTGGTGTTGATCAGCGGCGTCCTACCTCTCCATCTTCCTCGAAGTCGGCGATAGCTTGCGTTCGGCGTGCATCAAGACAGTGAGTATTCCGTTGCTTCATTATATTCTTTCTTTGGGGAACTTGACTCCTTGTCGTTCCCTGGGATTGGTTGGATTTTGACTCCTTGTCGATCCACCATCTCTCCTTCCTGAGTTAGACTCCTTGTCGCTCAGTTTCGGTTCGCTTGGCCACATACTACATATACTAATCTGTTCCTTCGTAGGCGTTGGCGTGCAACCGTTATTGTTTGCCCTTTCAAACCAATACTTCCTCGATTGGTGAGTGTGTCACGTTGGTATGTATTCTCATACTGATCAGTCGATCCCTTCGTCTTCAGCATCATTCTTTCCTTGGAACCTACAAGCCCCAACTCTCTGGACCTTCGACGGCCGCTCTCTCGCATCTGGCAACCCACTCTAGTGTCGTATCAACCCAATTCTGATCGGTGAGTGGTCGTCCACTGGATTCCGCCCTGTTCGAGCGCGGAATTTGACTCCATGTCGTTCCGTTGGAGGATGTATATCTTGACTCCTTGTCGATATACGTCCTCTCCTCGTGTTTGACTCTTTGTCGCACGAGGTTCTTTCAACAATCGGGACTATGATTCATGTAATTCTGACTGTATCACTAGCCATGGCCGATACTACTACAACACAAGATACGAAACCGCACTACAAGGAATACACCCGTGAATCGGACAGGGAATTCCTTGCGACGGATGCCTACTGTTGGGAGGTGATAGATCGCAAGGTTCGGACGAATGAGGTTGTGAGTGAGGCGGGGATCAACACTTTCATCGAACATCCAGACAAGCTCGACCCCGCCTCCTGGTGGGTTATCACTACTCCGAACGTGGGTTACATCCCCACTGCTCCCATCGGCATTCGTCATATTCAAGCGAAGGCTGATGGCCGCTTTGGACTAGACGACCGGACCCTCCACCCCCAGATGTACGTCAAAGGTTTCGAATACATCTGCTGCATCCCCCAACGCGATCAGTCTCGCCACATGTTGTGGTGGACACCCACCCTCGCTGATTGCCCTATGATTCCCAATTCGCCGTTCTCGATCTCCATTTGCGTTCTCAAGCCGGAACTCCTGAACGGGTTCAAGGACCTTCGTGACAAGTATGTTGGTCTGATTGGAAAGCGTGAGGGACGCGACCGCTCCCCTCTTGCGGGTCTTTTGGTTACCACAATGTGTCAAGCGCTTGATAGGCTGCGATCGTTCGGCATGACTTACAAAGAAGTCCTACTTGCAGTAGCGGAATTCCAGAGAGCTGTCCTTGACATCCACGCGTGGATCGATTTCGTAGACGTCTATCAACCTCGTCTGTATCCTGGACCCAACGGCGTGGTGAAGTACGAGGCCAATCAGGATTTGATGGGTGCTGTCACCGAAAAGGTTCAGGTCGCCCAACAACTGCAGGCGATGGGGATCCCTGTATGGCTAATCCGCCCCTCATTTCGAATCCTCCCCACCATGAATGTCAACGTCCAATCTCCCCAGTTACATTGTAAGATGATCGTTCTTGATCATTTCAGGGATTGTGAGGGCAATTTAGACCCATACCCTGTTCTGGCGACTGGTCCACCCTCGTCCGAACTTTACAGGTGGACCCAACGTATAGGCTGCGCAATTATGGACCTTCAAAATGTCACTGCAATCGGTCAACAGGACTTTATCGAGGGGAAAGCCAGTATTGGGGCAGTTCGAGATGAATGTAAGTTTTCAGCTTGTAATGATGCAACCCAATTCACAAACCTCAATGCAGATTCTATTCCTGTCCCGTCCGCTGCTGCATTGTCGTCCGCGGGGAAAGTTGGACCATCTGGTTGGTGCTTTCGTATTTCTTTTTATGTAACCTTAGAGGCTAATATCAACTTTTTCTTTCAGCTTATTTGTTACCATCCAGTGTCGGACAACAACCCTCATCGTCCTCGCAAGGTGGAACTCGCTATTCTAACCTTAGCATGGGACAACAACCTTCATCATCCTCGAAAGGTGGGTCTCGCTACTCTAACCTTAGCATGTGTAGTAATTGTGAATTCTGGCAGTTCTGCTCTCTGTGGCCTCTCACCAGCTGTCCCGACGCTCCTCGGTACCATCCAACCCACCGGTCATGCCCAACCCACCGGTCATGCCCAACCCAACACGCCATGGTCCTGGACCTTCGAAGCGCCCTCGCATAGCTGATGCGAAGGTTGCTGATGACAATTCTCCCTTCATGCCTGTACCCGTACCCACGTGGGCCAAGGCTTTACGAAACATAGATACCGATCCTCGTCGTTTGAAACGTCTTCCGGGGAATGTGGTAAACATCGGGTACAGGTATCCGAAACCAGATATCTTCTTGAACTCCAAGAATCGCGCATTGTACACTGCTACTTGGCTGGCAGTCCGTGCCCATCATGCATACACACTGGCAACGGGAACCGAGCTACCGCCACCGATCACTGCCCAACAATGGCGGAATTTCCTCATGCGAATCATGCCCTTCCTGGATGCCGAAGACATCGATTATACAGCTGATCTTGTAGATACCACTGCCGTACCGTCGCCTCCCCAGCCTGCCACGAAAGGAAAACAGAAAAAGGCCGGTGCCTCGTCCCGAAAGAAGCATGTCAAGAAATCGAACTCGTACCTGGAGGATATCCCCTTGGGAAACACCCTGATCGATCGGGTCGTCTTTTATGATACGACCATCCAGTTGGGCACAACACAGGAGCTTGAGCAGGCGTTGACGCCAGAGGTCACTCAGGAAATTCTCTGGGAACTCTGCCACATGAGTTTCAGGTTTGAACTCTTGAGCCTGGATGCTCTCCTTGCGGACACATTGTACCATGGCCGGTGGGGTGTTACAGATGCAGCAGCGGCGACGTCTCGCTCCGAGCAACTTCTCCGGGTATTCCCCATGTCGGGTGATGTGCTCGGATCTTTTATGATCAACGAAATCCCCAATCGCGACTTGGGTTTGACATCGTTTGATCTGGAAGAACGGAACCGTCATCTTGTGGAGCTCGGGAGGTTGATGTGTCCCTGGAAGGGTTGCCCGGATTCAATTAGGGATGCTAGCCACTTACCGATAGAGGCCCATGTTCAGGCACTGGAAGAAGCATGTACGAGCTTCTATTGCCAGTCTTTCTTCGACAACTTCGGTCGCGCACCCATCATCCCTTGTCGCCTTCCTCGTCGTTCTCTTGCACGCTCGGAGCCAGTTAGCTTTGCAGATTCTGTGACGTCCGCCCTGCCCTCTTCATAATTTTTTGTACAGTCATACCATGTTTCTCGGACTTTTTAGTCATGTCGGCCTCGTTGTTGTTCTTGCCATCGCCACATGACCTATAATTTGATCTTCCTCGTGTTCGCTTTTGCACCCGGTTCTTTGAGGGGTTAGTTGTGTACGTGGGTGAGACTTTCTTTCCTTTTTTCCCTCACATCCTTGCTTGTCGTGCTTGTGTATTCTATGGCTTTCAACAAGAGCCATTACTTGGGCAAGGCTGGGATTGCTATTGGGTCTCCATCATTGAAGAAGAAGTCCTCAGGTCATACTTGGGCTTCTACTAGTGACTCTACTGTGTCCCGTCGTCCTTATGGGTTGCCAGGCATACAGATCTTACCTAGGAAAGACTTGACCACTCCTCTGGGGTCATTTGTTCAGATTTCAATGCCTACTGGGGCTGATTTGCATGATGCTGCTGCTGCTGCTGCTGAGGATGATTTATCTGACACCTCAGGTGGTGACTCTGAGGATTCTGTTGAAGTTTCTGCCAGTGATGTCCTTCACCCTTTGGTGTTTCCTGCAGAGCAAGTTTCCCCAAAGAAAAGATTAGACAAAAAGTTGGCCTTGTGGAGGAACTGGGCTTTGAAACTGATCCCTGAACTTTTGGATCCTTATCTGGGCTTGTTGAGGGAGTCTGAGAATTTGAGGAACATAGATAGGAGATTACCTCATTGTTCTTGCAATGGGACTGGGCATAAAATGAATGTTATTGCTGTGTTTTTTGAAAGTGAGTTGCTTTTTCATTAAAATATCAACTTGTAATAATTTACATCCATCTAAGAACTTGTTGCTGTGGAAGTCTGTTCTTGCTCTGCAGTTTTTCAGCTCTTGGCCATGGGTTTGTTTCCAGCCTCACCCCTTCGACCAACATTAGCTGTGGATTTGAATATGCTTGACTTTGTAAATGAGCTTTTTGTTCGTTCACCTCCAAACACTACTGCATGGTGTGACTCACTTGAGGCATTTCTGGGTTCTCGCACCTATAAGCTTGAGAGTAGAGATGCCATAAGGCGTCGCTTTGGAAATGCACTACAGTGGTATGGAAATCTCATTTCCCAGAAAGAACTTTTGATATCTGGGGTTATAAATGAGGGTCGTCTAAATTGGCTCAAGGAGGCTGGGTCTCCACTTGAATCAGATAATATAGACAGGGTAGACCAAAACTATGAACCTCCACCTTCTTCTAGTCCTACTTCAGTGGCAGATAATGCTAGTGATGATTCTCATGAGAGTCAGAATACTACAAACTCTGATTTTGATATTCCTCGTCCAAGTGAGTACTTGCGGAAGCGATGCCCTCTCTGTTTTGGTGGGGATAATCCACATGACCCAAATTTTATGTAAGTGATGTTTTAAAAGGGGTCAAAAATAGGTTCTGATGACTGGTACATTTCAAGGGCGGATGTCATTGTATGCATTGATGCTTGTTTTACTCACAAGAGAAGAAACCCTGCAAAAGGTGGGGCAAAGGGACCTGAAAATCTGCATCCTGATACAGTATTTGTGCCTGAGAAATATGTAATGGAGATGAAGGCTTTAGTTGAGACAGTTCGACCAGAGAAGTCAAAAGGAAAAGAAAAAGCTAATGTACCATCTGATGGACAACTGGCTGAAGACTCATATGAACCTGGCATGAAGGTCCCTGTCTCAGCTTTGGAGGGATGCCTGGCCTCTTTTATTGCAGCAGATGAGAGAAGAACTAAAGCCAGCACACAGTTCTTTGCAGATACAGGTCTTATGGCCATGCTGTGTCGTCATGACCATGTTCTCTGGCTAGTAAACATGACTACTGCTGGAGAACGCCAATACTATGCTCTGGTATTGATAAAAATGCTATTTATGAATTTGCCTTTATCAATGACAGTTGGAATTTTGTATGACATTGGATGCCAGTTGGAGAGAAGTTGCCAAATCTGGGGGTTTCTGGAGGAATTCATGGAAAGAATCCTTTTTGCACTTGCGGTTTTCCATGCATATGGTCACCAGTGGCCCTGCCAACTTGTTTATCATCCTCGTAAATGTGAAGGGTTTGGCCTCTCAGATGGTGAGGGTTGTGAACGTTTCTGGAGTGCTATCAAGTTATTAATCCCTTCAATGCGTGTGGCAGGGGTAAGTGTTCATCTCATATATATGTGAAGATAATCTGATAATTGAGCCAAATAGTTCTATCATCGGCTGTTTACCATTGATACTCAGGTCAAGCATCTGGATAAAAAGTCTTTTGATATGATGGGTAAATGGCTTCAACGCAAATGGTTGACTTGCTTGGAAAGAAAAATTGAGGCTGAAGATATTCTCAATGAACTGGGGTTTGAAATTTCTTTGCTTGAAAATGAATGGAAGCAGCAAGTGGCGACACAGACCAAGCCCTTGGCACGACAATCAAAGAATATTGCAAATATTGCAATTAAGGAAATTTTGGCATTATATACTGCAAAGAAAAGTTTTGCAATGGAGTTGGGAGGGCTTGATGACCAGCTAATCTCTGGGGTCTATGGGGACGATATGTCAGTGGAGGATGTTTTGGCTGCACGTAAAGCAATCATGAAGAAGCAAGGTGTGATTGATGCAAATATAAAGACAAAGAAGAAAAGGCTGGGGGTTAAAGATAAGGAAGATTTGAAAAGGTTGATGGGCAATAAGTTTCTTCAATTGAAACTTAATGCCAGGGCTCTTAAACAAAGACTCAGAGATCGTTTAAGAAATCGTAAATTTGAATTGGAAAGGTTAGAGAGAGCATATCGACAAACAACTTCCAATGGTAAGGAGTTTTTATAACACAGACCACTCACTCTTTGTTGACTTCTATTTTAATAGAAACTAAATTACATTCGCATGTCCAGAAACAAGTCAATAGGCAGCAACCAACAATTGCTAGATTGGCAAAAAAGTACAATGACATGTGCTATGATATGACAAAGCAAATCCAGGAGGGAAATGCCCCTGGTAATTCTATAGCCCCTGTGCCAATCAATCGAGAGCATTTATTCGCTCTAGATGTGGATGATGACATCTGGCAAGATGTTGGATTAGATGAGAATGAAAGTGAGGTTATACCTGGCTGGCTTGGGAATGAGAAGATTCGTGAAGGAATCAAAGGAATGCTGACAACCAAGAGATGTGCAGAAGAGATGGCCAGAATCAAACGAGAGCGAACAGCCCTGCAGGAGTGGTCAAGGGAAGAGTGGGAAGCTATCAATATGGCCATTCTTATGTGTGGTAAGCTTGTTTTTATTGCTATTTGAGTGTATCTAACAGTACTGTTCTTTATTACAGAGGATGAAGACATTGAGCATCAGTTGGTTATCAGAAAGTCAAGACATCTGAGTTTGTGTGCACAGTGGAGGGAACAGGTGTCTCTGATTCCTGGCACATATCCAATGTTGAAAGGATGGGGACCTAATGTCAAAGATTTGGAGACTGCATTGAAGGATTTGTCACAAGAAAATGTTGATGAAGAGGGAAGTGATGATGAACAATTGAATTGCACATATAATGTTGAAGAAGCAGACAACAACAATGTTATTGAAGAGACAGAATTCATGGCAGTGTCAGATGCATTCAGGGTAGCAGATAATGGGCTGGCCTTTGGGAGATGGGAGAGTGAGGATTTGTGGGAGGATCTGGAAGATGATGAAGAAGATAACTTGGAGGTTGGAACATCTCGAAAGAGGTCAAGGCAGAAGTATTATAGGTAGGTTTTGTGGGAAAAGGTTGGAATGAAATTTTCATGAGATGATACAATTTGAAGCTTGGTAAGGTTTGGAAATATCAATATCAATCAATTAGCTGCCTGGTAGGAAATTATAAGTACAGTTAGTATTTAGTTCATAGAATTGTAGAATGGTACAATTATGAATGGATATACTAGTTGGCAGGAAAGTTTAAGTTAGAGATTGCAATGGTATGACATTGTAATACCTTGGTATGGTATGAGATGACAATACCAGTGCAATACCATGGTATGGTATGGAATGGGAGTGCAATACCATGGTATGGTATGGGAGTGCAATACCTTGGTATGGTATTGGGTGCAATACCATGGTATGGTATGGTATGGGAGTGCAATACCTTGGTATGGTATGAGATTGTAATACCAGTGCAATACCATGGTATGGTATGAGATTGTAATACCAGTGCAATACCTTGGTATGGTATGAGATTGTAATACCAGTGCAATACCATGGTATGGTATGAGATTGTAATACCAGTGCAATACCATGGTATGGTGTGGGAGTGCAATACCATGGTATGGTATGGGAGTGCAATACCATGGTATGGTATGAGAGTCCAATACCATTGTATAATATTTTGATAATAAAGACTCTCAGGACACAATACTTGATCCCATTTCCAATTAACAAGACTTTGGATTGGATAGATTCACTTAGCTTCAATAAATTGGACCAAATATTATGACAAAAGGCCAAACATTCAGGACAAGAATACTTGATTCCATGATTGCAGATTTTAAGAAAATTGAGATTATATGATGGTGTTGTTGGCAAGACTATATGTATATGCTATGTAAGTGGGCAAGACTGTCTGATTGGCCATACTGAACAAAATATACTTACCCTATTATTGAAAGCATTCATATTAATGGCTTTTCAGGAATGGAAAACCCCAGGAGAAAACTCAATTGAACTGATTTTCAAAGGTTGGAGTTGACTATCTGGCCTCCACTTGGAGTTGGAAATCTTAGCAAAAACCTGAAGAACCATTCCACTTTTCTTTGCTTCTCAGTGACCACTTCATCACAATGGATGCAGTATTGTTTTATTTGGATGAATATTGTTCTAATGGATAGGACTGTGAAATATTGGTATCATCTAACAGCTTTGATGCATGGGAAAGCTGGGATAATCCCCATTTGAACTAATTTTCAATAAATGGCTTGGACTATCTGGCCTTGATTTGTAGCCTAATATCTCAGGATAAACCTGGAGAACCCCCCCACAAAAAATGGCACCCAATGGACCAGTATTGCAGCCTGCAGAAATAATTTATATATTTTGGAAAAGGACCCCAGACACCCCGTGACAGCTTTGGTATGATGGTATGAAGTGATATCATACCATCTGGTATGGTATAACATGACATGGTATGGTATGGTAACTTGGTATTGGTATGAGTGGGATATGGTATGGGTTTTCCATTCCATGGTACCATGGTATTGGTATGGTGCTCACATACCACCCTGGAATGGGTACCCTTGAGGTACCCTTAAATCAAAGAATTCATATACCTCGGGGGTACCCTAAAATGGGTGACTGAAGTGCATCACCTGACATGCAACCCAAGCATTTTTACCAATTTAGTTTATTTGTCTGCTCTGTGATCTCGCATCCGGACACGGCACCAGCTGAAGTACACCAAATTGATATTAAATAGGCTGTATCACCTGGAGTGCAGCCTGGGCACTGTTACCAATTTAATTCACTCATTTGCTTGGTCATTTTGCACCTGGACACGGCACCAGCTGAAGGACTTCATCAAATTGATATTAAATTGGCTCTATCACCTGGAGTGTAGCTCGGGCACTTTTACCAATTTAATTCACTTGCTTGCTTGGGGATTTCGCATCTGTAGAAAGCATAACAATTTGATATTTAATCATCAGCAGCAGCGTGGGTGTTTTTACCAATTTAATTCACTTGTCTGCTTGGTTATATTCCACCTGGCCTCGGCACCAGCCAAAGTACTTCAACGATTTAATAGTAAATTGGCTCTATTATCTGGGATGCAGGCTGGTCACTTTTACCGATTTAATTCACTTGTCTGCTCGGTTATTTTCTACTCGGCCTCGGCACCAGTTAAAGTACTTCACCAATTTAATATTAAATCGGCTCTATTACCCGAGACGCAGCCCGGGCACTTTTACCAATTTAATTGATTTGTCTGCTCGGTTATTTTCCACCCAGCCTTGGCACCAGCCAAAGTACTTCACCAATTTAATATTAAATCGGGTCTATTATCTGACATGCAGCCCAGGCACTTTTATCGATTTAATTCACTTGTCTGCTCAGTTGTTTTCCACCCAGCCAAAGTACTTCAACAATATAATATTAAACAGGTTGCTATTATGCCGAGCCAAAGCCCGGGCAATGTTACCAATTTAATTCATTTGTATGCTCAGTTATATTTCACCTGGCCTCGGCACCAGTTAAAGTACTTCAACAATTTAATATTAAATCAGCTCTATTATCCGAGACGCAGCCCAAGCATTGTTACCGATTTAATTCACTTGTCTGCTCAGTTATTTTCCGCCCAGCCTCGGCACTAGCCAAAGTACTTCACCAATTTACTATTAAATCAGCTCTATTACCTGAGACGCAGCCCGGGCACTTTTACCGATTTAATTCACTTGTCTGCTCGGTTGTTTTCCACCGAGCCAAAGCCCAGGAAATGTTACCAATTTAATTCATTTGTCTGCTCAGTTATATTTCACCTGGCCTCGGCACCAGTTAAAGTACTTCAACAATTTAATATTAAATCAGCTCTATTATCCGAGACGCAGCCCAAGCATTGTTACCGATTTAATTCACTTGTCTGCTCAGTTATTTTCCGCCCAGCCTCGGCACTGGCTAAAGTACTTCAACAATTTACTATTAAATCAGCTCTATTACCTGAGACGCAGCCCGGGCACTTTTACCGATTTAATTCACTTGTCTGCTCGGTTGTTTTCCACCAGGCCAAAGTACTTATCAATTTAATTCACTTGTCTGCTCGGTTATTTTTTACCTGGCCTCGGCACCGGCTAAAGTACTTCAACAATTTACTATTAAATCGGCTCTATTACCTGAGATGCAGCCCAGGCACTTTTACCAATTTAATTCACTTGTCTGCTCGGTTATTTTACACTCGGCCTTGGCACCAGTTAAAGTACTTCACCAATTTCATATTAAATCGGCTCTATTACCTGAGACATAGCCTGGGCACTTTTACCGATTTAATTCACTTGTCTGCTCAGTTATTTTTCACCTGGCCTTGGCACCAGCCAAAGTACTTCAACAATTTAATAGTAAATCGGCTCTATTATCCGAGACGCAGCCCAGGCACTTTTGCCAATTTAATTTACTTGTCTGCTCGGTTATTTTCCACTCGGCCTTGGCACCAGCCAAAGTACTTCACCAATTTAATATTAAATTGGCTCTATTATCCGAGACATAGCCCGGGCACTTTTACTGATTTAATTCACTTGTCTGCTCGGTTGTTTTCCACCCAGCCTCAGCACCAGCCAAAGTACTTCAACAATTTAATATTAAACAGGTTCTATTATGCTAGATGCAGCCTGGGCAATGTTACCGATTTAATTCACTTGTCTGCTTGGTTGTTTTCCACCCAGCCAAAGTACTTCAACACTGTAATATCACCTGATGTGCAGCCCAGGCATTTTTACCAATTTCATTCACTTGTCTGCTTGATTATTTTGCATCCAGACATGGCAGCCAATGTACTTCAACAGTTTAGGATTTAAATGCCTGCATCACCTGATGTGCAGCCCAGGCATTTTTACTGATTTCATTCACTTGTCTGCTCAATTATTTTGCATCCAGACATGGCAGCCAAGGTACTTCAACAGTTTAGGATTTAAATGCCTGCATCACCTGATGTGCACCTTTACTGATGTAATTCACATGTCTGCTTGGTGTAATTTCACCTGGACATGGTGCCAGCTCACACATCTTTTCCCTGAAAAATGCACTGGCTCAGACACAATGATTTAATATGGAATCGGCTCAATCACTCAAGGTGAAACCCGGGTATTTGTACTATTTCCCACTTGTCGGCTCCATTATTTTGCATCTGAACATGTTTGATTGGTGTTTCCATGCATTTATACAGATTCAATGACCTTGTCTGCTCAGTAATTTTGCACCAGAATACAGCACCAGCTAATGTACTCAATGGCCTGATGCAAACATAAAACCAGAGGGTGATTTTGAATGCAGGACATGGCAAAGAACACTGGGGGGTTGGTACAACATATGAACAAGTAAACTTAGTTAGGCCATGTGTTAGCCGGGCTGGCTATCATCACAGGACAGATGGCAACATAAATTGTTTAATTGGAGACAAGCCAAAGAATGGGAGGGAGTGTGGTGCTGACTGGGCCAGGCCATATCCAGGCTGGAGATGGCAACAGATGGGGGCTGGCCTCATCTCTGCTCAGGGCTGACAATGAGATTCATGACCTTGGGTATGTAAACTGACTTTGCCGAGCCAGGGTGCGGCAAGTGGGCTGAATCGGCTGATCCATATTGTGAGGAATGAGAAGCTGTTCAGCTGACCCACAATCCAAGGCAATTTCAGCAGGATCAATTCATCATTAGGCTGGTCAGCCGGCACACAGAACCACTCCTCAAGAAAATATGGGTGGCCGAGCCAGCTTTGATGGGGTCAACATATACATCGGCTCATCAGCAGGCACCATCAACCATGGCCTGTTTGTATGGTCAGGGGGATCAGTGTTGTTGGGGTAAGGTCACTAATACTTGTGGCCTTCCACCATGTGTTCATATAATCCCCCCACCTTGCGTCTTCAATCCCTGAGCCCTTGTCCTTCCATGGCACTTACAGTGCAGAGGATGTTCTGTCGACGGTCGTCACAGAACAGGCACAGGGGAGGCAGTGCACAACGTCCCAGAACTGTACAAAGAAGAGGTAGGTCAGACATATGAGATCGTATGATGGC